GCCACAACTAGTTTAGCCATTTTCCAATTGATGGTCATCCCCTCAATTTCCAATTCTTTGCCACCACAAAAAGAGCTGCTATAAATATTTTTGTATGTGTAAGTTTTTCTTTGATCTCTTTGGGATACAGACCTAGAAGTGGTATTTCTGGGTCAAAGGGTATACACAGTTTTATAGTCCTTTGGGCATAATTCCAAATTGCTCTCCAGAATGGCTGAATCAGTTTATAACTCCACCAACAATGCATTAGTGTCCCAATTTTTCCACATCCCCTCTAATATTTGTAATTTTCTTTTTTTTTGTCATATTAGCCAATCTGATAGGTGTGAGGCGGTCAGAGTTATTTTAATTTTCATTTCTCTAATCAATAGCAATTTAGAGTATTTTTTCATATGATTATAGAGAGCTTTAATTCCTTCTTCTGACAACTGATAACTTATCAATTGGGAAATCGCTCACATTCTTATAAATTTGACCCAGATCTTTATAGGTTTGAGAAAAGAAGTCTTTATTGCAGAAACTTCTTGTAAAATTCCTCTTCTCCACCTTCCCCCCCCAGTTTCCTGTTTTCCTTCTAATCTTGGCTGCATTGGTTTTGTTTGTGCAAAAGCTTTTAAATTTAATGTAATAAAAATTATTCATTTTATATTCCATAATGCCTTCTACCTCTTGTTTGAACGTAAATTCTTCCCTTCTCCATAGATCTGATAGGTTAAATTTTCCAAGCTCCCTTATTTTGCCTATGATAACACCATTCATGTCTAAATGTTGCACATATTTTGACCTTATCTTGGTATACAATGTGAGATGTCCATCTATACTTTGTTTCTGTCAAATTGCTTTCCAGCAATTTCTGTCAAAGAATGAGTTCTCGACCCAAAAGCTTGGATATTTGGGTTTACCAAACCCTAGATTACTATGGTCATTTACTACTGTATATTGTGTACTGAATTTATTCTACTGATCCTCTACTTTATTTCTTAGCTAGTACCAGATTGTTTTGATGATTGTTTTTCAGTCATGTCTGATTCTTTGTGACCCGTTTTGTGATTTTCTTGGCAAAGATACTGGAGGGGTTTGCCGTTTCCTTCTCTAGCCCATTTGACAGATGAGGAAACTGAAGCAAACAGGGTAAAAGTGACTTGCCCAGGGTCACAAAGCTAATAAAGGACTGAGGCCAGATTTGAACTCAGGTCATTCTGACTCCAGGCCTGGCACTTCCATTTTGCCACCTAGCTGCCCCTTTTGATGATTACAGTTTTTTAACACAGTTTGAGATCTAGTAATGCTGGCCACCTTCCTTCAATTTTTTTTTTATTTCTTTGATATTCTTGACCTTCCATTCTTCCAGACGAATTTTGTTATTTTTTATAGCTCTATATAATAATTTTTTGATAGTTTGATTGGTATGGCACCAAATAAGCACGTTAACTTGGGTAGAATTGTCATTCTTCTTATATTGGCTCGGTCTTGTGTTTATATAGTTGCTGGGTTTGTCTTGGCAGGTAGACACCCAAATATTTATATTGTCTGCAGTTATTTTAAATGGACTTTCTCTATCTTCCCACTGGACTTTGTTGGTAATATATAGAAATGCTGATTATTTATGTGGATTTATTTTATATCCTGCAACTTTTATGAAGTTGTTTATTATTTTGACTAGATTTTAGTTGATTCTCTAAGTATATCATCATATTGTATGCAAAGAATGGTAGTTTTGTTTGTTCATTGCCTACTTAAATTCCTTCATTTTTCTTTTATTGCTACAGCTAGGATTTCTAGTACATTATTGAAAAGTCACGATCATGGACATCCTTACTTCATTCTTGATCTTTCTGGGAAGGCTTCTAGCTTACCTCCATTATAGATAATAATAGCTGATAATTTTATATATTACTACTTATCATTTTAAGGAAAGCTCCATTTATTCCTCCGCTTTCTAGTGTTTTTAATGGGAATGACTTGTATTTTGTCAAAAGCTTTTTCTGCATCTATTGATATATTTTTGTTGTTTTTTGTTATCAATATGATCAATTATGCTAATGTTTTCCTAATATTGAACCAGTTCTACATTCCTGGTATTAGTCCCACCTGGTCATAATGTATGATCTTTGTGATACATTGCTGTAATCTCCTTGATAGTGCTTTATTTAAAATTTTTGTATAAATATTCATTAGGAAATTGGGTCTATAGTTTTCTTTCTCTGTTTCTGCTTTTCCTGGTTTTGGTATCAGCACCATATTTGTGTCATAAAAAGGAATTAGGTAGGACTCCTTCTTTGCCCATTTTTTCCAAATAGTTTATATAGTATTAGAATTGTTCTTTAAATTTTTGGGGGGGAGGGTGTATGGGTATTTAAGAAAGAACATACTTGGAGTAGTTGTCATATTTATTGGCATATAATTAGGCAAAATAGCTCCTAATAATTAATTTCATCTTCATTGGTGGTAATACCACCCTTTCCCTTTTTGATATACCCTATTTGGTTTTCTTCTTTCTTTTTTAAAATCAAATTAACCAATGGTTTATCTACTTCATTGTTTTTCCCCCAGAAAACCAGTTCCTAGTCTTTTTTTTATTAGTTCAATTGGTTTCTTACTTTCAATTTTATTAATCTCTCCTTTGATTTTCAGGATTTCCAATTTGGTATGCTTAATTGGGGATTTAAATTTGCTGTTTTTCTGGTTTTTTTAAATTGCACGTCCAGTTCATTGATTTGCTCTCTCTTTTTTTTTTTACTGAAGTAAGCATTTAGAGATATACAATTTCCCATAAGCACTGTTTTGGCTCCATTCCATAAATTTTGGTATGCTATCTCATTGCTGTCATTCTCTTTAATGAAACTGTTGATTGTTTCTATGATTTGTTCTTTGACATACTCATTCTTTAGGATTAGATTTAGTTTTCAATAAATTTTTTATCTGTTTCCACAGCTCTTTATTGAATGTAATTTTTATTGCATTATGATCTGAAAAGGATGTGTTTACTATTTCTGTTTTTCTGCATTTGGTTGTAAGGTTTTTACGCCCAAATAAACAATTTTTGTGTAGATACCATATACAGCTGAGAAGAAGGTATATTCCTTTCTGTTCCCATTAAATTTTCTCCAGAGGTCAAGCATATCTAACTTTCAAAGATTCCATTCATCTCCTTAAATTCTTTCTTGTTTATTTTATGGTAAGATTTTTCTAGTTCTGAGAAGGGAAAGTTGAGATCCCCACTGGTATAGTTTTCCTATTTTCTCTTGTAACTCATTTAACTTCTCCTTTAAGAATTTGAATGCTATGCCATTTGGTACATACATGTTTAGTATTGGTATTACCTCACTGTCTATGGTATCATTTAGCAAAATGTAGTTTCCTTCCTTATCTCTTAATTAGGTCTATTTTTGCTTTTGCTTTGTCTGAGATTGTGATTGCTACCCCTGCTTTTTTTTTTTTAACCTCAACTGAAGCATAATACATTTTGCTCCATCCAAGAAGAGTTATTAACATCTGCTTTGGGGGCAGCTAGGTGACAGTGAATAGAGTACCACCCCTGGAATCAGGAGGCCCTCAGTTCAAATCCGGCCTCAGCCCAGACACTTGACACTAGCTGTGTGACCCTGGGCAAGTCACTTAACCCCAATTGCCTAAAACAAACAAACAAAAAACCCATCTGCTTTGTTGTTGTATCTAAGGACCATGGGATTTTTTCCATTTGACTCGAAAATGACACTTTTTATGTGTGTCTTCTCCCTCATTAGAATATGAGCTCCCTTAAAAGCAGGGACAGTTTTACTTTCTATTTATATCTCCAGCGCTTAGCACTGTGCTTTGCACATAGTAAGTGCTTAATAAATGCTTCGTGAATTCATTCAAATTCTGGGAAATTGGAAGTAACAAGAAATATTAAAGCGTGGGTCTTGCTGAGCTAACCTGGCAGCCCCTTTTCAGTACAAGGCCCTACAAAGTTGGGAGCAGAAGAGAGGCAGGACATGGGTGGGGTAGGGCTGGGCACTAAAGGCAAGGAAAGAATGCCCACCCCCAGGGCTTGGGAAGGAGTGCTGAATTGGAAATGAAAAGAAGAAAAGGTGGCGGCAGCTGGCAGAGGTAGGAGGCTGGAAGGGCAGTGCGTGAGCCACAGATTCTATTTCAAAGCCAGAATGCTCCTTCTAGACTACACCTGGGAGTCCCGCCCACTATCCAATCCCGAAACTGTAACCCGTTTGATAGGCAGCTCTTCTCACCAGCCACCTCCTTACTCACTATAAACACTCCTTACTCTCTCCGGTCTAGCGTTGCCCACCCCCCACCACCCCCCAAGCCAATCAAAGGAATGGGCGGGGATGTCCCCCTCCGTCTGCGTCAGTTTAAAAAGGGGGGGGGCTGACACAGAGAAGACGAGAGAGAGAGACATAGACAGATAGACACAGAGAGAAAAAAGAACCTTTGGGTCTTTCTCGGGCGAGTGAAAAACACCTCCAGTTCTGTAGGCGGAGCGCCCGTGATCGACAGGCGGGCGCTGCCAATGAGCTGTCCGGGACGCTCCGCAGACCTGTCTCGGGGGTGGGCGGGGCTAGCACCGATCTCAGCCAATGACGGCGGGGCGGGCGGAGGTTGGGCTGCGGTGGGTAGGGTTAGTGTGAGAGGTGCGGCCGGGGGAGGTAATGATGATGGTGGCGGAGGAGGATGGGGGGGGAGGGGGTGCTAGTGACTGAGCAGCAGCAGCAGCAGCTACTCCGGAGGGGGGGCCTGGGGCGGGGGTGGGGGGCCCGACCATTGGGCGAGTCCCTCTGGGGAGAGGGTTGGGGGCTGAAGGGCGTCCTCCCGCCCGGCCGGGGCGGCGTGGGGCTGCGAGACCCAGGGGCCGCCCGTTAGCGCTGGCTCGGCTTCGCCTGTTCCATGTGGCTCCGGCGGCGGGGATGGAGGACGCGGTGGCGGCGGCAACGGTGGCAGCGGCAGCAGCAGCAGCAGCGGCAGGAGCAGCGGCAGCAGCAGCGGCGTCGAGCGAGGAGCGGCGCTGAGGAGGGAGCGGGGCCCGAGCCGAAGCTGGAGCCGGAGCCGGCAGCGCAGGCGCGGCGGGACCAGAGGTGTGAGGAGGGGCGGGACGTGCCCCTCGGGGTGACAGGGACTGCGGGCGGGCCCGGGGCCCGAGGCGGCTGGAGTGCCCGGAGCTGCCCGGCCCGGCCTGGCCCCCTTCCTGCCGCCGCCCCCGGCCCTTCTCTGCCGCTGGAGGCGAAGGGAGTATCCGCTCCCCTCTGTTACGCCGTCACGCCGAGGCTGGGGGCGAGAGCCCGCGGTGGGCGCCGGACCTGGGACCCTGCCCTCCCTTTGCCTCCTCCCTGCCTCGCCCCTCTCTTCCTTAGTTTCGTCCAAGCCCTTATTCTGGGAGTGAGCCGGTGACACGATTAATTATTGCCAGAAAGACACAAAGAGTTCATTTTAAACCCCCCCCTCCCCCTTTACTCTTTTGGGTGGGGGGCGGCCGCCGAGGCCCCAACGCGAAGCGGCCTCTTCTGGGCTTCCCGGCTCGGGCTTGCCCTTAGGGTGGTTTGGCCGCGACTTGTCTCTCTCGGGGTTGGGGTTGGCTCGCTGGTGTCTATGTGTAGATGTTGCTCAGTAACCCTCTGATACGACTGTATTCCTGTCTTCCACCGTTGGTATCTTTGGCTTTCAGCTAGGGCATATTTAAAAAAAACAAAACATGAAGGGCTAGGACGATGTCAGTTGCAAAATCAACAAATATTGAATACCTATTCTCACCTCTACCTTCCCTTATTTTCTTTCATCATTTTTTTTTTGTCTTTGTTTTGCTTTCCAGTCCTACAGATTACACATCATAGAGCCCATGAGGAGGAATGATGATGTCTCCATGAGGGAAACTCCTCTCACTCATACAGTCATGTGTATCATGTTGCTGGCTGTGCCATTCATCTAAGGTGGGATTTACCCTGTGCAACAGGGAGAAGAATCATGGACCCTCAACATCGTTTCAAGTTATAATTCACTTTTCAAAATACAGACTTAGAAAACAGAGCTTCCTAGCTTTGGATACTGTGCTCTCTTAAAGCTGCTGCATTGCTCTCTTAGAGGTGTTACTGTGTGCTATCATCATGGCTTCAGTTTGGAAGAGACTGCAGCGTGTTGGAAAACATGCCTCAAAGTTCCAGTTTGTGGCCTCCTACCAGGAACTTATGGTTGAGTGCACTAAGAAGTGGTATGTAGTGCCTGATGGCTGGATGGGTACAGCCGAACAACTCCCGGTTCGGATAGCACTTTTCCCTTTCTGTGTCTAAGCAGCTGGGTGGGGTGCCAGTAAGTTCAGGAGTGTGCACTGTGGGTTTTAATTATTGTGTTCCATGATGCTCATAAGGTTATTACTGTGGCATCATATTGTAGGTTTAGCAGATTTGGACCTTAAGGTTCTTAGCAGGACTGGGATAACTTAATTTGTATTTTCAAAGGAAGACAGGATTTTCTAATGAAAAATTAATGACCGTGCAAGGAAAAGTAGAATTTCTGTGGGTTGGTGATAATCTTTTTTGTTCAGGGTAAATAATCTTCCTTAAAGATGAGGTATTCTTCCTTGTGTAAATAGGAAAATATTGGAATTTATAACCTTAGACATGGATTTGTTATTTGCTTAGGCAACTGTGTCATGTTTTAATTGCCCAATGGGACACATTTCTTGGCCAGACTGGAGGAAGCAATTAGCTGTGCACTAGTCCCTGATTTGCATCTTTCCTTTTCAGCAAAGTAAACTTCAGGGCATACTTCTTATTGCCTAGAATACAACTAAATACATATTATGTGAGAGAAAAAGTCAACTGTAAAACACAGTTCCCTTTTGATTTTTCATTTATTACTATGATTAAGCAGCTTTACTTTAAAAGAATTTATAGTTCACTAGGACTCTGACTTCTGTGCAGTATTCTTTTTTATAGCACATTATGAAACAAAAAAAATAACTCATGCACTTTTGATATTTAGTATTTATAATGCTTGTACAGTTGACACTTATAAATTATTTCTTCCATTATAAACAGTTACTTAAAGCTGTCCTTAACCCATTATCATGTTATTGCCCTTTTGAAGATTTTGTATTTAATATCTTAAACAGTATTATGCAATGTATTGCATAAAGAATATAGGAAGAAAACATTTTTAGTTAATGGGTTAGTGTTATAACAATTTAATACAGTAAATATTCAGTTACCAAATGTTTCTATAATTCAGCTCAGCACTTGGAAACATACTCAGAGCAGTTATCTTTAAAATATTTACATTTCTGAAGTGGAATTCCAACAAAAATATAAAGTGATTCTTCTTGAGTCACTGAATCTTTTTTTTTTTTTAGTTGTTGTTGGTTGCCAGTTTGCAAATAGCCTTGGGACAATTTTCTTGAATGGTATGTAAACTCATGAGGTTAGTTGCCAAGACCAGAGCCATCCTGCTTGAGAATTTCACTGTACTTAAGTCTAGTAAAAGGAATGCTTTTGGAAGTATCTTTATTTGTAAAAGGAATGGTTTTGGGAAGGATCTTTACTTTTTTGAGTCTAGTAAATGAGACCTCTAAGGTACAATCAGGTCACATGACCCATATCTTTTGAGTTTGGCCTGTCACATATAGGACTAAAGAATCAGAGTTGTAGTGTGTGATCATGAGAATTCTAAATGTCTCTTATCAAAACATGTTTTAAAAGCTTCTGGTATTAGTGTTGAATTAGAACAAATAGAAGGATAGTTTTAAACCCATTTTAAAAAGTAGAAAGTGTTTGTATTTGATTTTCTTTGTCTTTTTTTGGTTAAAGAGGGGACAGAACTATATAAGGTACTTTTCTTTATTAAAGAAATATTGAATTTCTTGTTAGTTGATATTTTCAAGTGAAACCTTACTTGTAAAATAAGGGGAAAGGTATTAGTTATGTGTGTAAGAAATCCTTAATATTACATCTTCAGTATGTGTAATAAATTTTGCAAGGAATGAATTGATACTTGGAGAGGAACAGTATAGTCCTTTGAAGGCATTTTAAGTCCTATTTGTTCTATCCAGGATAATCTTTGGAAGATTTAGCAAAGTAGAATCCTGATTGCATTCTCATAGGATCATGGAATTTAGAGCTGAAAGGAACCTTAGAGATTATCTGGTCTAGCTCTCTTATTTTACAAATGAGGAAACTGAGGTCCAGAAAGATCAAGTAATTGCCCAGTCATACAAGAGAAACTTTGCCTCCAGATTGTTTTGATTGTGTGCATATATGTTTTATGTAACATGTTTGCTTTAAGTAGAAGAGCACTAATTGAGAATCAAGTCTACTCTGATCAAATCCTTTTATATTGCCTCCATAGGGACCATACGAAAATTTGTCTATGCTAAAATTATATTGTAGCAAAACTGGGCAAGTGGGTTGTTGTTAGCTGGGACGTAGAAGTCTTTTCATTATATAGAACTTTTTGTTGTAATGGTATTCAATCAATATTCTAGTTGTCACATGTGGTCGTAGGGTAATTGCAGATTAGGTCCTGACTCCCTTTCCCATTTCCTGTACTATGTGGTTCTTTTCTGTTCTATATCCCAAAGACATGGTTTCTTCTTCTCAAGGGAACTTACAGGAGAAAATAAAATGGATTTAGAGGAACCATGACTTTTTAAAGAAATTAAATAGATGCTAATATAGCGCAATGGATGATAAGAATGAAGAATGAATCAGTGAATCAAAAAAAATTATTTAATGCTTATTTTGTGCAAAGCACTGTGGATACTAACAGAAAAACAAACAATCCCTGCTTTCAAGGAGCTTGTATTCTGATGGGGGAGGCACATAGACGGTTTCCATTGCCTGAAATCCACGATTGTTAGGGTGGAGCAATGAAGCAGGTGCCAATACATCTTTAATGCTTCTTCCACTGATAAAACCATATCCATTTCTAATGTTGAACCATTTGGCAGTGCCAAGGACTTTTGTTATGAGGATTTTTCCAGGTCTTCAGAAACTGTAGCTATAGGGAAAAAAAATAGACATTATAGGAAATGAAAGTAGATAATTGGGATCTAAACTGCAATTTCCTAAGACTGACGTGTCACCTACAATCCTGTTCAAATTTTTGTTTTTACGACAAAAATTTCTCCGTAATGAAAAGACAGAGATGTCATAGAATTATGGATCTAGAGCTGAGAGAGACCTCAGAGACCATGAGGTCTTCCCCCTTGTTTAATCACAGTAATAATAGCGAACATTCATATAGCGTTTCCTATGTGCCAGACACTGTGCTAAGTGCTTTATAATTATTTCATTTGATCCTGACGATAATCCTGGGAGGTAGGTGCTATTATTATCCCCATTTTATAGATGAGGAAATTGAGGCAACCACAGGTTAAATGACTTGCCCAGAGTCGCCCAGCTAGTGAGTGTCTGAGGCTGGATTTGAACTCAGGTCTTTCTGACTGTAGGCCTAGCAATCTATCTACTGCATTACCTCCCCGCCCCCATTTTACAGATGAGGAAACTAAAGGCCAGGGGAGGTTAAATAATTTAGCCAAGGTCACACAAGTAAGTGTATTGCAGAATTTGAACCCAAGTCCTTTGATTCCAGAGTTAGTGCTCATTTCCCTGTATCAGAAAAAGAAAGTAGGGAATGAATAGCTCAAGAGAAGACGTGGGAGGCAGCTAGGTGGCGCAGTGGATAGAGCACCGGCCCTGAAGTCGGGAGGATCTGAGTTCAAATCTGGCCTCAGACCAAACACTTGACATATACTAGCTGTGTGACCTTGGGCAAAAAAAAAAAGAAGACGTAGCAGGCGAATAGCTAATGCTATCATAGGCTACATTAAAAGTGATGCATTGTGTTCCAGAAGTAAATGATCTGCTATACTCATCTCTAGTTTGGCCTTATCCCGATTATGTTTGGTTCAGAAGGACCTCAGAATTTAGAGAAGGCAGAGAAATCCTGGAGCAGGTCCAGAAGTTGATGATGAAGATGTTGAGAGCACTGAAGAACCTTGGTTATAGGAGCTGGGCATGCCTAGCCAGGAGAAGAGAAGATGTAGGGGACACATGAAAGCTGTCCTATGGAAGAGGATTAGACTTGGTTGATTTGGCCCCACGGGGGAGGATTAGGTGCCGGGATGGGGAGTTTCGGAGAGGACGATTTAGGCTTACTTAGGAATGGGCTGTTTCAGAGCCAGTGAGTTCCCCTTTGGTCCTTATGGCTACTTGTTGAAGATTTTGTAGAAGGAAATCTTGGTTAGGCCTCTATTTTGGACTAAAGGACCCATAAGGTCCTTTCTGACTCTTACATTCTATGATTTTATGAAGATGAATGGAATAACTGGGGTAGGTTAGAAAATAAGAAAAGGTGGTTTGATGAAAAGAGAGAGGCAACCTATTAAAAAAGGGAAGAAGGAAGGAAAATAAGCATTTATCAAGTGCCTACTGTGTTCCAGGCACTGTGATAACTAAGTGCTTTACGAATAGTATCTTATTTAATCCTCACAACAACCCTAATAGGGAGGTGCTATTATATACATATAATATACATTATATAATTATTATATATATTATATACAGTTGAGGAAACTGAAAAAGATCAGGCAACATTCTTTTTGAGAGTGTGCTCTGCATTTTTTGGGAAGTGAGATGCTTTTAGGGGTGCTGTATAGTCTTGACCTCAAACTTCAGGATGTACAAACTTGCTGCCTATATTCTGAAATCAAAGCAACGCAGACAGCATATAGCATGGGATTCAGAAGAGTTTAGGTATTTTAGCCTTGACCCACAGGAAGGTAGTAGGAGTCAGTGTGTTTCTTTCCTAAGGGGAAGGGGCATTTCAATGGGAAGGATGCTGTCACTAACACGTTCTTTTCTAAGGACAACAGAATTTGAGCCAAGCAAGGAAAGTCAGGATGTGACTGACAGAATAGGATGAAAGTAGAGTGTTAGGAAAATCAGCTTCTTTTGGATCTAGGATATTAGTGAAACCAAGTATACCTTTGCTCTGTTAGCTTCATCAAAGGATGTAGAGAGAGTGGCTTTATACTTTCATAAACTAATGCATTCTCTGAAGAACCGAGTCTTGGCTTTTCCAGTGTGTAAACCCTAATCTCAGCTCTTGTGTTTTCTCTTCCTGATTCTCTTTCATACTCTTTCCTCAACTCCAGCTACTTCTTGGTAAGGAAAAACTTCTTAAAGTCTTTTTTCTTTTGAATTCAGGTTCACA